CTGGGTTTCGGGGTGCCCGGCAGCGCCTGGAAAAAGCCTGTGTTTCGGGCGGTCTCTTTCCGTGTAGGAGATGCGCCGCGGGGCGCGCAGGGCTGCAAACGAGGGGAGAAGAGGTGCTGAGCGTTCAGTTAACGATGAGGTTAAAGGTTAATGCCCGGCCTTCACTGAGAGGAAAGTTAGTTGGTACGTGCAAAATGTGCTGCCAGTAGGAAAGAGGAGGCGTAGTTGCTTCTTCGGGGCAGCAGAAATACCGTTTATAGGCTTTAGCAAGGGAAGGCATTGGTGGAGAGAGAAGAGCCACCCTGTGCTGCACAGCCAGTGTCCGCAGCCTCTGGTGTCCAGTGTGACTGGGTTATGCTAGAGGAAAATATTTGAGAAGCCTGTGTGTGCTTATGGTGGCTCATTGGTTTCCTTAGAGACTAGTCATGTGCTGGTATTCAAGCAAGCAGGTTAGTGCTTGGCATTTAAAACTTTATTAGGCCGGTATAAGTTAACACAGTCCTTTTTGTTATTTCCGTCACCAGGTGTTTTTACACAGTGTGTGTAAGTAGAATATTTGTTTAAACCTACTCTATGTTTCAGTTGCTTTTCCCCCCACTACCTTGTTACCACAACGTGAAGGCACAGGTGTGCTGTCCTGTGGTGCCAGTAGCAACACCTTGCAGTGTTGTGTTTGGGAAACATGAGGCTTTCCTCATGCTGAAATTTTAAGTTACAGGGTGTGAAGTTTTGCTGCCATCGCTATGTTATGTAACAGCAAACTTGTGTCGGAGTGTGTGCTTTGTAAAGGGTGAGGTGCAGAATTGTGCCAGTGCATGTTTTTTTTGCGCCATGCAGCATTTTATCCAATAATACAAGTTTGAAAGAGAAATTATACTGTATGAAATGCAGCAGATCCATGTATTTTTAATTTCTAGATCAGTAGGTATATACAGTCTTGGAAAGTAAAAGACAAAGGATTAAACTAATGGCTGAGGATTGTGGAGGGTGGGTCAGGGTGGCCCAGCTGGTAGGCTGTAGCTCGGTGACCTGTGCCTCTCTCTGCCCTGTCACCGAGGTTCATGGGGTTCAAATGCCTGGGCTTGCTGACTTCTGAGAACTGGCTTTTTTGTAGTGTTCCTCTCTGGGACGGTAACCCCTCTTTGAGGGGGGCGGGGGCAGGTAGCTTCAGCAATTTGAGTGCTTGACTGTATCTCCCCACTGGTGACTGGAGAAGGATTTAAATAACTTTAATCAGCAGCACCACAGAGTCCTCTGTGTTATGTAAGCATTTAACCCTCTCCCCCCCCTTCACAGAAAATGGCCTTCTGCTATTTTCTGTGACTAGAATGGCAAAAGTATTTTGACGTTGACGGTACTTATGCTGCATTTACTAGTGGTTTTTTTTTTTTAATGAGCAACTAAACAGCAATGGCAAAAAGCTTTTCTAGAGTGAGACTACAATACTGGAGTTGTTATCTGTCAGGGGAGAGAACAAAACCCAGTACTCTAGTCATGAGATGACAACAGTTCCCTCCCGTCCACCCCACTGATAAAGGAGCGCTTGTGTTTATTTGCAGAAAACTTATCATGCAGGTAGCTTTTCTTAATGATGGAAAGAAATTCTTTTTTCTGATTTATAGCCTGGAGTTCTACATATTTCTGTAGTGAAGAGAGAAGTTAAGATACTGTCATTACTGAGAAGTTGAGGTAGTTTAAAGGTACTCATGTGGTGGCAGTTTTAATGATAAAACAACCACAGCAGATCAGGAACAGCCTGGCAGTATAAATAAAAGTTTATTATCTGATCCCACCAAACAGCTCATGTCCAGGGTTGAACAAACCTGTGGGGATCATGATCCAGCTCTGCCTTTGCCTTCCCCCTCCTCTGCAATGGCTGTTGGGGGATCGGCTGAACTGTTGCCAATTTTAGTACAGGAGGGCTATTTACGGCTTATAGCCAGAGTAGGAAAGAGTTTGTTAGCAGAGCAGCTTTTATTGGTTATTGTGATATGTTTTATTATTGTGAACCAGGATTGGCATAAGAGATGTTATTACAACTTATTACAAACTCGTGTTGACATAATGAGGTCTGGGATCAGCATAGGGACTGGATAGGATGAAGACAGTAACATAAGAAGTGAGCGGTGAAAACTTTTTAAGGATGGTCTGAACCTCAGCAGGCAAACTCTGAGGCAAAATCCATCGAACTGTGACTCTGGGCACCGAGACCCTCGGGAGAAGTGCAGGGCAGTGGCTGGCGGGAGTGTCAAAGGAAAGCTTGATATGGGAAATGTAGCTTTGGATGCATTGATTGCGAGAGTAACAGAAGCCTTAATGCAACAGTCTCATGATTTTATTCAGTGTGGTATAATGGAACAGCAAAGAAGTTACTTTGCCAGTCAGTATAAGCAGCAGAAAGATGCTGAAATTAGCTTTAACAAAAAGTAAGTTTTGAAATAAAACGTTTTGGATTTTCCATCAGGCTAACATCAACTTTCACTAAATTGGCCTGCTAGCTTTCAAATCCATTGCTTGGAAATTATGATTATCTCAAACTGAATAAATTTTCTTATTTTTACTATATAATCATTAAATTCTAAACCAGTCAACTTAGCTTTACTGGAAGAAAGAGATAAACTTTCAGTTATTTTTTGGTTATTATTTCCATGGGCTATGTCTTGTTCATAACAGGAGAAGCTGTTTTGCTTGGAGAAGCTATTTTATTTTGTATGTAGACTTCAAGAGTTACTTTTCCTGTGAAACACATGAGGGCAGCAAAGGACTTTTGGAAAGGTGGTTGCAAACCATGCAGTTTTAATTTTTATTTTAATTAAATAAATAAACCCAAAAAACCCCAAACAAACAAAATCCCCTCCTATTTTGGGAAAATAGATCTATCCTGGATTGATTCATGTGAAAAATTCTGTACAGCATTTCAAGAGGAAAAAGTGTGTTTCTCCTGGATTTGCCCTCTCTGCTAACTAGATTTCTCAATTTATCTTGTTTGAGAGGAGAGGGTGTAAGAAAAGTCAGTGTCTTCTCTGATGGCTACTGGCTCAGGGAGAGTAGAAGTATAAGCAGCAGAAAGATGCTGAAATTAGCTTTAACAAAAAGTAAGTTTTGAAATAAAACGTTTTGGATTTTCCATCAGGCTAACATCAACTTTCACTAAATTGGCCTGCTAGCTTTCAAATCCATTGCTTGGAAATTATGATTATCTCAAACTGAATAAATTTTCTTATTTTTACTATATAATCATTAAATTCTAAACCAGTCAGCTTAGCTTTACTGGAAGAAAGAGATAAACTTTCAGTTATTTTTTGGTTATTATTTCCATGGGCTATGTCTTGTTCATAACAGGAGAAGCTGTTTTGCTTGGAGAAGCTATTTTCTTTTGTATGTAGACTTCAAGAGTTACTTTTCCTGTGAAACACATGAGGGCAGCAAAGGACTTTTGGAAAGGTGGTTGCAAACCATGCAGTTTTAATTTTTATTTTAATTAAATAAATAAACCCAAAAAACCCCAAACAAACAAAATCCCCTCCTATTTTGGAAAAATAGATCTATCCTGGATTGATTCATGTGAAAAATTCTGTACAGCATTTCAAGAGGAAAAAGTGTGTTTCTCCTGGATTTGCCCTCTCTGCTAACTAGATTTCTCAATTTATCTTGTTTGAGAGGAGAGGGTGTAAGAAAAGTCAGTGTCTTCTCTGATGGCTACTGGCTCAGGGAGAGTAGAAGTGAAGAAACAGCAAAGGTAGGTGACTGACAGCCAAAGTGTTTCAGAATGCTTTATTTTTTCCACTAAACTACCATGCTATTAAAGCATTTTGTACTTGTCCTTAAATGAGCAAACCCCCACCAAAGTACATAGAGAGCCCTGTCTATAGGCACACAGTCCCTGCTCTGTTTTTAATTACTCCAGTGTAAATCTAGCTTTGCTTCATTAAGATAAAAGAAAATACACTTGTAAAAATAATATCAGAATCAGGCCTATAAAAACGAATAGAGTATAAAATTTGTGTTAGGGTTTTTTGTTGTTTTGTTTTTTAAAGGTTTTATTGATACCAATTCTTACTGCTTCATTGACATAGGTAAGCCATGTATTAGTTACACAGGTCACACCAGACAGGTGATTAAAATCTTTTTATGCAAGTGTATACTTTATGTTGCAAGATTTCTTTTCAGAAAGTCTGATTTAGAATTTTATAATTGTAAATGCTTATTTTTAAATATATTTTAATGGCATTTTGCATATCTCTTTACTGTTCTGGCTATTCATTAGATGTATTTCATAAGTCCAAACAATGCATACTAAAGGAAGAAGCAATAATGAATGTATATTTAGGAACCTCTAAACTCATTAAAGAAAACATATTACAAATGAAGCTATTCCTTTTTTAAGAGAATTTTTCTCATCAGGTGCAAAATACCCATTTCTAAAAAATCTTGTAACTTATAACAGTGTAATGAGTGGGTGGATTTTC